AGGGAGGGTGGGAGGGAAGGAGGGAGGGAGGGAGGGAGGGAGGCAGGAAGGAAGGGAGAGCTTCTAAAATAGAAACCTGTCAGTTAATCCTAATATTTTCAGAAAATCAAAAAAATGAAACTATAACATTTAGTATTGCCTCAAAAAATAGCTGTTTATTGGGGGGGAGGGGGGTGGCTGGGAAGGGATGTGAAGGGGAAACCAAAGGAGGAGGCTGCAATGCTTGGTAAGAAATGTACGCATTATCTTGCCCATGTAATTGTAACCCCTCTGTACAGTATGTTCACAAATAAAATAAAATAAAATATAAAAAAGAAAAAAAATAGCTGTTTAGCTCTTTTTATTTATATTTCTGAAAAACTGTCCATGAAACATTCTCAACAAAATCTTTGCCTTCAAAGAATATGATAAAAGTAAAAAGAAATGTAGGAGGAAATCATATCTTTTGTAATGATTTCTAAAAAGTGTTTTGTACTTTGACATATAAAAGGATCATCAATTTGTCATAATTTATACATCAAAATTATGGTCATTGACAGAGAAAATGTATTTTTACCTGTTTTTATTGCTACCTCATAAATCACAGTGAGGATATTTTGGAGGTAGATAATTCATTATATAGGCACAGAAGGAAATGAAGTCTCATTCATGAATTTTTAACAATAGAGCTACATTACTTAAACATCTTGCATTCAACTATGTAGTTATCAGTTTTCCTCATTTCAAGACTTATGATCCTGGTTGGGTTATTTGTAACATTAATGCAATAAGCCAGATAAGATAAAATTAATAGAGACAGCTGGACACTGATGACTCACTGTTGTAATTCTAGCTATTCAAGAGAGTGAAATCTTTGGGTCAAGGTTCAAAGCCAGCATAAGCAGAAATGTCCAGAAGATTCTTATCTTCAATCAACTAGCAAAAACCAGAAGTAGTAGTGGTATGGCTTAAGTGGTGGAAAACTAGCTTTGAATGGGAGAAAAAAAGCCAACTGAGAGTTCCGAGTTCCTGAGTTCAACCTCCAGTATTGTCAAACTTATATAAAACAAACAAACCTATTCTATTTATTGAATGCCTGTTATAGGCTAAATACTATATATTTTCATGTATTATCGCAAGCATTTCTCTGCTATACTCTGAGACGGGAATTATTTAGTCATAAGATGTACATGTTTTCAATTTTATAAGGTATTATCTGTTTCCTAAAGTGTCTATGAACTGAAACTCTAGCAGAATTTGCATTGTTTTTCATTCTTATCAGTACTTGCTATCATCCAACTTTTGTTGTTGTTGTTGTTGGTTGTGGGGCTTGAACTCTGGGCTTGGGCGCTGTCCCTCAACTCTTCAGCTCAAGGCAAGCGCTCTACTGCTTGAGCCACTACGTCACTTCCAGTTTTTCGGTGATTTATTGGAGATGAGAGTCTCACAGCCTTTCCTGCCTGGGCTGACTTTGAACCATGATCCAGTTCTCAGCTTCCTGAGTAGCTAGGATTACAAGCATGAGCCACTGGCACCCAGTTATCATCCAACTTTTAAAAATGTTTGCCAATCTTAAGAGTATGAAGCCAAGGCTTAGATTCATAAAGAAATCTGCTAGAGTAAATAAGTGCTAGTGCTGTGTTGTAACACAGGTATGGTTTATATTAATTATAATAGGCTGCATTCAAAGAATGAGGAGTAGTTATAAAAATGAAAATTGGATTTTTGTTATATTTCAATTATTTTATTTTATTATTATTATTTTTTTATTATTATTTTATTATTATTATTATTATTTTTGGGGGGGTTGTCCAGTCGTGGGGCCTGAACTCTGGGCCTGGGCACTGTCCCTCAGCTCTTCAGCTCAAGGCTAGCGCTCTACCACTTGAGCCACAGTGCCACTTCTGGCTTTTTGCTTTTTGCTTATGTGGTGCTGAGGAATCGAACCCAGGGCCTCAGGCACGCAAGGCAAGCGCTCTACCGCTGAGCCACCTTCCCAGCCCCCAGATAATTTTATTTAAGGACATTCTTAGAGGAGTTTTGAAAATGCAATTTTAGATTACCTGGATCAAATTTGCCTGGTAATTACTGTGTATGCCAAGCTTACTAGAAAATCAAGTGTTTTCCTGATCCCATCATTATTTCTTCTATTTTAGGATCGGGTGGGATCCAGGTGTGTCCACATTTTTAACAAACTAGTTTTGATTTCTTTTCTTTCTTTTTTGGTTGGTTTTGGGGCTTGATGATTCAGGGCCTGGTCCTTGTCTCTGAACATTTTTGTTCAAGGCCAGCTCTCTACCACTTTGAGGCACAGCTCTGTGAGATTTTCCAGGCTGGCTTCAAACTGCAATCCTCAGATCTCAACCACCTGAATAGCTAGGATTACAGGCATGAGCCACTGGCAACTAGCTAAGAGATTCTTAAACATAAGAGTGTTTATTAAAGATCAGAACTACAAGACAGGTGCTGGTGGCTCATGCCTGTAAGCCTAGCTACTCAGGAGTCTGAGGTCTGAGGAATGTCCATGAGACTCTTAGCTCCAACTAACCATCAAAAAGTCAGAGGTGGAGCTGTGGCTCAAATGTTAACATAGAGGCACTAGCTGTAAGCACAAAAGCTCAGAGACAGCTCCCAGGCAGAGTTCAAGCCCCAGAACTATCACAAAAAAAGCAAAACAAAATCAACAGCACTCTTAGGAGAAGAACAGAATAACACAATGTCTATATGCATATAATCATACAAAGTAATGTTTGTTGAAATGAAGTCCAGGAAATGATAGCTAGATATTTTCTATTTTGCTGGTTTTGTTTTTTTATTCTTTTTTGTTTTGTTTGTCTATATGTCTTTTGGAGTGTAAGGCGAGGCACAGAAATGGAGGGACAAAGGGTAAACAAATGCATCAATGGTACTATGTTGAAAATGAACTATACAACTTGTGGGTAGGATAGAAGGGAAAAACGGGGAGAGACTGAGGAAAGGGATGACATTTATCCAAAAGGAAATGTACTCTTTGCTTGACTTATGTAACTAAGCCCTCTGTTTGTTTTTAGCATTTTCAAATAAAGATAATAAATAAAAACAACAACTAAAGAATCTCTGCTTAAGTAGCACAATAAACTATGTTTAGGAATTAATAGATTTATTATCTATTGTTTCAGAGACATTAATTTACCAAATATCTAAAAACACTATTTTTGTTACAAACCTCAATTCAGCAGAAAAACATTTCTGTGTAATTTTTGTTCCAAAACATGAAATTGAGCGACTGTTAATTATCAAAATCTAGCTGCAAACAATGTCCTTAACCTGAACTTTCACAATTATGCTTATTTCCAATGGTTTATTTTGTTATAAAATTAAATAATTGCGTTAAAGGATCAGTGTCATACTTTGAGAAAAAGATTTGTTTTCCAAATACTGAAAATAAAATGTGACAATTTGTATGTCATGCTTGCAAAACAGAGGCTTTAAATCCTATATTATATGTAGAAGTTGTTAGCTATTCTAAGGGTACAATAAGAGATTATTGTTCATATCAGTGTAATAAATTGATACTCCCTCATCATACATTTTCATTTTGCACATTGTCAGAACCTTGGACCTTAATCTTATTCTTTGATTGACAGTAGCGACCAGGGAAAGAACACTTGTATTGTTTGGGATAGTCACATCTGTTCAACTTGATTCAGTTCTGGGTATTTGCATATTCTTAAGTATTTCTTCTGAGAGGGCTTAAATCCTTCTCAAGTGCTTGATGCATTTTTGAAATTCATTCATAAGGTATCTACATGCACTAATAGTTCTTTATAATATTGCTGTACATAATCTGACAGATAAGACCACATTTTAAAACAAAGTATTCTTCAGAGATGGTACATTACATTTTTACTTATTCTGCAGAACAGAAATGTTAAGTTTTTGAAGAAGTCTTTTAATATTTTACTTGAATTAGTGTATTCTTATTTTAGGCAAATTTGTCACTGACAGGACAAACTAATATTTACCAAATAATAATTCCAATGTTATTGGTAGCCTTACCTGTTTTGGTTGAAGAACAGTAATTTCTTAGAAAATATTGCAAAAAAAAATGAATGGTTCTACTTTAGCCTCTCCTTATTTTATAAGTAAGGCACAAATTTCCTGACTTGTGCAAGGTCATACTGCTTACAAATTGAGCCTTAAATGTTGCTTTTACCAACCATATCAGTCAACTTTAAATAATAATGGTGTATGACCTCAGATCTACATAATTACAGTTTATCCTACATCTAAGAATTTCCCCTCACTATTAGAATACAAAGATTATGTCTTGTCATTGTACTGCTCCAGCATTTACAGGGAATCTTGTACATAATTAATGTCTAGTCTTTATTTTGCTGTCTTGTCTTTTGATAGACTGTTATTGTAAAAAAAATTATAAAACACAGTGTCTTTATTAGTGGAATGTTTAATCACCTTGGTAGCAAACAGATTTCATTTTGTGTTCTATTCCTAATGAATTAGCAATGGCTGTGTTGAGAAGAATTTTGAGATCATCTGTGTTTAGTTTGCAGTCTTGCTAGGTACATGAGATTAGAGAAATTGTTTCTTGCAAAATATATGTGATCTTAGGGAAGAGAAAATTGTGGACTGTGATGTCAGCAATGGCCTTGGGTGGAAATAAAACTCAATCTTATAGGATGGAAGATGTTTATGCCATAAGTTCAAACACTATCTCAATAGAAAAGAATTCATAATTCAATTATTATATGATTTTATGACTAGCTATTAAAAGAACTAAACTACCAAAGTGGGTTTTTTAATATTAATTTTAATTTTTATTTCCAGGAGTCCCCTTCTGGTCGAAGGAAAGCTCTTGCTACTAGCAGCATCAATATGAAACAATATGCAAGCCCTATGCCAACTCAGACTGATGTCAAGTTAAAATTTAAGCCATTGTCCAAAAAAGTTGTTTCTGCCACTCTCCAGTTTTCATTATCTTGTATTTTCCTTCGGGAAGGGAAAGCCACGTAAGCTTTTTAATTTTTTTTCTCCATTGACATTGTATTTCAAAAACAGATTATAGCTTTTGACCGAGTAAACTGGTAAAGTTGAATATATGATAGCATACCAATCATTCTTATCATTCTTGGTTTTAGAGGCTGAATATAATGAATTACTTTTTATTTATAAGTCTGTTGATTACAGAGAATGAACAATAATACAAAAATAATTACAGCTAGCTCAGTAGTGCTTTGGGAATTGTAGGGTATCAGAAATATTTGCTTTATAGTTTAATGTCTTCATTGTAGCAGCTTGTACTCTGAAGTGCTACAGTTAAATTTTTAGAGATGTTTGATGCAACTGAGAGATGAGATGAACCTGAAACAACAAGTTTTACGAAGAATGAAAGATCTAAGGGAACTTTTTCCAATTCATATTTCTTGTTCCAGCCTTCCAAAAATTTCTTAGGAAGTCATAGTTAATGAACACCTATTGTAATAATTTTCCTTTTCAAAATCAGTTTACCTGGACTCAGTGATGTGTGCCTGTAGACCCAGTTTTCAGAAGAGCGAGACAGTAGAACCAGTTGAGGTCCAGGAATCCAGAAATATTTCTCCCAAACCACATATTATCTTAGATGTGGAATAATCATTGCACTAAGGATTCTCTCCTAAAAGAGTAAAATTCTGAGTTTGGTAGGTTAATGCATTTCTGTAATCCAATATTCTAAAAGCTGAGGCAGAAGGATTGTAATTTTGAAGCTAATTTGAGTTACATATGGGACTCTATTATAAATAAATAATCCTTTCTTAGAAAGTAAAATTCTAACTAGATTAATGAGATGAATATGCATAGAGCAGGAACTAAAAAAGTAATATTCCCTATGGTCATTGTATCTAATTTTTGGGTATATGTGAATACAACATGTATAATCAAAGAGTTAGTAGGTACTTGAAGTGGAAGATGAAGAAATACAGGATAAATAGAAAATCTATAGCTAGAATTTCCTATTAAAGGTTAAGGGGAAAGGCAGTTCTGAACATTTAAGTCTGTCCGAATTACATTTCTGAGCCTGTTTGACCCATTGGAATGTGGTTACTATAATTGGCTATGTCTACTTGACTGATAAGGCTGGATTCTGTCACTCAAAATGAGATGTTTGACACTCATCTATGTGACAGCAAATGACTTGGTAGTTGAAACTATACACCTCCTCTCTGGGAAATTGTATTTTAAGTGAGTGTGGTTAGTGAGACAGTTCAAAATGGAAACATTTTAAAAATAAAGCTCTTACCCTGAAGTTTAAGCAAAAATGAAAGAAAGGGAAACACAGAAAGAAGAGAAAAAACAAATTCAGAGAAGATCCTTTGAGGGTGGACTTCCTTCCACTGGGCAGAAACCGTAAGTGAATCAGCAGCATTTGCAGTAATCTGTATGAGAGGAAATTCAGCTAAACCAAATGTCTCAATTTCATCTGAGTAAGAATTCTCTCAACATTCTAAACTCCCTCTCCACCTCCTCTTCCTTGCTTCCTCACCATTTACTCTACCAAAAATGTTCAGGGTTAAAATATGAGGGAATTTAAATTGTAAAATTAGTAAGCAAGTTAATATTTTAAGAAGGGTATATTTTAAACTTACATTCATATTATTTATTATTGATGAGAGATCTATAAGAATATCATGATCTATTACAACTTTTTTGTTCTTAAAGACTCAGTCATAAAATTTATTTAAAAGAAGGAAAAAGGTTAACTCTAAGCTTATTTGAAATAAAATGTGAACAGTTTAAAAAAACTTGTTTATTTGCAAAGTGATACTATGTTTAGATAAGTAAATGTTAGTAAACATTACTTTATATTAAAAGAAATATTTTCATTTTGCTATCTGAATATGGAGGAAATCTATCAAGTTGAAAATTAACTTGTTCATAACATGTTAAAAAGATGTTTTCACTGTTAGTTTTCTTGAAATTTAAGATAATAACATCAAAAAATTGAATGACTTTAATGTAAACCTTATAAATTTGTATTTAAAATACTTTCTGATAAAAAATACTTTCTGGTTAAGAATTATATTTTATCAAATACATGATGTGTCACTCTTAATAAGCCATGGATAGTTTTTCATTTTGTAAATTTCATTTATTTTTGCCAGTCCTGGGGTTTGAACTCAGGGCCTGGGCTCTGTCTCTGAGCCCCTTTGTGCTCAAGGCTAGCACTCTACCACTTGAACTACAGCTCCACTTCTGGTGGTTAATCAGAGATAAGAGTCTCATGGACTTTCTTGTCTAAGTTGACTTTGAACTGCAGTTCTTAGATATCAGCCTCCTGAGCAGCTAGGATTACAGGTGTAAGCTACTTGTACCCAGCTCTATTTTTTTTCATTTATAATTTGAAAAAGGCTGGATTTCTTTTATAAGGTGCTTTTTTGTTCCAGTAGTTTTTAAACTTTTGGGACACAACCCTTTGAAAAAATTGCCCATTTAAGTAAGATTTACATACTTATTGAGGTTTGCTGCTTTCCTTCCTTCTGACTCTCAAATCCAAAAGGATTTATGGACTTTGAAAAATCTTCAACCAATTCCTTTGAAAGTTCCAATACTTTAAAATCTAGCTCTCTGATTTACACTTCCTTACTGTTTTTTAAAACAAGTTTATGTTTGTAGACTTCATATTCCATACCTGAGTTCTAGAAAGAAAATTTTTTAATTAAGTAGTTTTTAGTGATGTTTGTCTTTTACTAATAAAACCTATTGTTGTGCTTAGATTTTTTTTCAATATTCTTATATAGCAACTTAAAAAGACAGATTTGCTTATCCTACAGAAAGAAAGGATATATTAATATTAAAGATTTAGTATCTCTTACCTAAATGCTTAGGACCAGAAGATTTCAGATTTTTTCAAATGTTGTAATATTTTAGGATGAGACCTAAATTTAAACACAAAATCTATTTATTCCTTATGCACATAACCTAAACATAATTTCATATGACACTTTTAATTTATTTGGTGTTTGACTGAGAGCCATCACAGGAGGACAAGTATGGAATTTTTCCATGTGTGGCATTCTGTCAGATTCAAAAATGTTTCGATTACAGATTTTCAGATTGGGAATGTTAAACTGGTAGTTCATAAGAAACAATTTTTCAAGCAATGTCATCTAATGAATTGTGTGTTTTTTTGAATAATTGATGTAGGGATGAAGATATGCAAAGTTTGGCTAGTTTGATGAGTATGAAGCAGGCTGACATTGGCAATTTAGATGACTTTGAAGAAGACAATGAAGATGATGATGAAAACCGTGTGAACCAAGAGGAAAAAGCAGCAAAAATTACAGGTTTGGATTTTTTGTGTGTGGGGTATTTGGGGATTTTATTTGCATTTAAAGTTTACTTTTTTCCTGTGGAGTTGAAAATTTCATTTGTATTATTTTTGAAGAAAAGCAATTCCACTCAGCTTTCTTTTAATTTAATTTTTTTGCATCTTTCTAATAAAATATATCATTTAGCTGTCTGAAAGTTTTGCATGCTAATTATTACTTAGTAGATTTTAGCATTTTAGTCAAAAGACAGAAACAGGAGATAATCTTGAATTATAACATAAAGCAACCTAAATATGCTTATATTTCTTTTGTTAGTGTATGGATGAAATACAAACTTTCAGACTTCTTTTATGCTTTTACTTTGGGCATTTTCTTATTATTTTTCCTTTTCTATCTTCTTTTTTAATTTTTTTATTGTGATTATAGAGATGATATACAGAGGGGTTACATAACTTGGGTAAAGAGTACATTTCTTTTTGGACAACGTCATCCCTTCCCTCACTTCTGTTTATCCCTCCCATCCTGATCCACAAATTGTATAGGTCAACTCTTCTGATCTTCTATATTTTCCACTTCGATTTTTGATGGAGTAATTCAGGAGATACAGTGTAATACAGGAGTTCTGTGTCTTATTTTTATTTTTGAATAGCATTCTATAAAAAACTTGAAAATGATAACATTAAAATTAAAATAGAATTTCACTATTCTTATATAGGATGAGAGATACAAAATGATTCTCTTGTTCTGTTTATTTAACTCCTTTACTACTTCTTCCTGGCTACTAATATATTTATTCCAATAACACATTTTTCTAAAATAAGTATTAGCATTTGCTTTGTATTTTGTAACAATGTCAGCAACAAGAAGCACAATACTCTGTGGTGTTTGTTTGTTTGTTTAATGCTGCATCTTTTCCATCTTTGAGCTATTTTTATTACTGCTGAGCTTTTGACCATTTGTTAGCTGGAGTATATTTTTAGGATAAATAGTGTCCTTCTGATACCACCAATAACCTTTCACCTGGTCTTTTTTTTTTTTTTTAAGCAGCACTGGGTCTGAATTCAGGTTCTTCTCCTTGCTAAATAGGTGATATGTCACTGAACCATGACCCTAGGTCTTACCATGCCTTAGGCCTCTTGGCCTACTATCACAAAATATCTTAGACTAGCTAACTTATAAACAACAGAAATGTATTGCTCACAGGTATGGAGACTAGAAAGTCAAGATCAAGGAGTTGGCAGATTTGATGTCAGGTAAAGGGCTGTTTCTGAAGGGATAGCATTTTCTTTGTGTACTTATATAGCAAAAGGGGAAAGAAAAAGTACAAACTCATTCTCTGAAACTCTTATAAGGACAGTAAATCCCCACCCTAAGGGCAGATCCTTCATGGACTGATGATTACTTTCCAAAAAACCCTATCTTTTAACACCATTGTCTTTGAGGTTAATTTTTTGGGGATATCAACATTAGATCATAGCGTATCTGTCTTTTAAATTTAAATTTTATGATTGTGTAATTCTTAGAAGCATTTCATACTGTCTCTAATGGCTTGACTACTCCATCTTTTTTATTACTACTGTGCCATTTAGGAGCATGAGGGTTCATAATTCCAATTTTTAAAAATTTTTATCTTTTAATTAGATAATATGATTTGTTATTTGTAGGTAGCTTTTGGCTGGGCAGTGATAGCTCACACCTGTAATCCTAGCTACTTAGAAAGCTGAGATCTGAGGATTGCAGTTTGAAGCCAGCCTGGACAGGAAGTCTTTAAGCTCTTATCTCCAATAAATTACCAAAAAAGGCTGAAAGTAGAACTGTGGCTCAAGTGGTAGAACACTGGCCTTGAGCAGAAGCAGCTCAGGTACAGTTCACAGGCCCTGAGTTCAAGTCCCAATACTGGCAAAGAAAAAGAACTAAAACCACTATATGTCAAGCAGCAGTATTGTAAATGGGAAGTAAAAATCAAACATGTTCATAGTTGTTTTGAGCAGTGTTGTGCTGTTTGATCATACAGTTATTTAAAATTTTTCAAATTCTGCATTGTAATTGATAACTAAAGTATTCTATGTATTCACAGATGTTTTGATCAGTGATGTGCTATTTGATCATAGCAGTTTTTTAAAAATTTTACAAATTCTGCATTGGAATTGAAACTAAAGTATTATTTTAAGTAAAATATATTTACTGAAAGCATCAATGATAAACATTCAATAATAATTTGATTGTATGATTAAACCCTTATTACCTATTAATATACCTATTTTCTAACATTCCTGCAAGAATAATTACTGTTCTTTATACTTCTAACCCTAATATGAGAAATTATTTAATATAACTTGTGATTGTTTGAGGTTTCTTTGCAGTAATTACTACTTTATTTGTGCAAATGTGGGCATGTAGGTGTGTATTGATACTGGGGGTTTGGCTCTTTTGTTCAAGACTGGAATTTTACCATTTGAGGTACACTTCCATCTCATTCAACTACTTGTGTTACTATTTATTTGTTTGTTTTTATTTTATCTTTTATGAAATTCTGTCATTTGTTCTAATTATTTTTTAGATTGTCTGAAAAATACTACAAATTTATATATGTTAACTGAAAGACCATAGTAAATAATGTGGCTTCCTTCTTTCATTGTAGTCCATTTAAGTCACTCTGGTTTATTATCTTGTTCTTTTGACCTTTAAACCGAGCGCCAGTAGCTCACACGTGTAATCCTAGCTAGTCAGGAAGCTGAGATCTGAGGTGCAAAGCCAGCCCAGGCAGAAAAGTCTATGAGACTCTTATCTCCAATAAACCACCAGAAAACTGGAGCTGTGGCTCAAGTGGTAGAGCACTAGCCTTGAGCTGAAGAGCTCAGGGACAGCACCCAGACCCAGAGTTCAAGCCCCATGACCAGCCAAAATCCATATACAACCTGTACAAAGATAAAATGGTTATGTTTTATAGGACACACATACATTCCAAAGCTTAATAACTTAATAATAGTTTTCCAACAGTAATGAATATAGAAAGTGTATGTTGAGGAAGCAGGGTAGAAAGCACAAGAGAAGACTTAGATACATATTCTAAGTCTCTAAATACATGATCATTGCAGATTTTTTTTTGTTTTAATGTTATCTTTTCTCACCATTTTCTGTTGTACTTTCAGAGTGTAATAACTTAAATGATTGGCTTAAATCTTTTGTTCCAGTTTTTCGCACATACAAATTCCATTTCAGAATTGCCAACTTTTAGGAATAGTTTGTAGGACCAGCACCACTTTTTAAATGTTTGAGTAAAGTACTTTCAGAATAATAATAAGATATTTATAATGCTTAAATTAATATTCTAAAAGTAAACAAAATATGTGTTTCATAAACATGGTACAGTTGAAATAAATTGTGCTATTATGCCTTAATATGCAAAATAAATGTGTAATATGTAATAACATTGTATTGATAAAAATGACATTTTCCTATATTTCTCTATCTAAGCTTGGAACCTTCTTGAGGAAATAGACTGCTAGGAATTATTTTGCTTATATCTTAGAATGACACCTAGAGGCCATTCATTTCTTATTAAAAGTTATTGTTAAATGAACTTTAATAGACAGTTTTTGATTGGCATTATTAGAATGTATTTCTAAATTTAACCTTTACTAGAAATTGAAAATGAATCTGAAGTATCTATACTGGAACTGATAAAAATGTCTGTTTTGTTGTGTGTGAGACAAACACATTTTAGGAGTAACTAGTTCTCATACAAAAATCTTTTATTGATGTAGCACAAATATCTACATTCTGGAGAAATTTATCACAAGTGAATGAGCAGGGGGATTTAATTGCAGTTGGAGATTCCTGAAACAGATTAAGAGTAGTAGATCTTGGAGATGGAGAAAAACAAAGCCTTCTAGTGGAATGTTTATGCAGCCAATAGTTGAAATTATTTAGTTTCAAAATAATCATTACTTCTATGCATATGACACCTTGTAAGGTTGCTTCAAACCAGGTTTGAATATTTGACAATATATGTAGTCTTAGAATTTATTTTGTCTTTTTTGTTTGTTTTATTTTGGTTGTGTTTGGGATTGAACTCAGGACCGCTCACATGCTAGGCAAGTTATACACTACTAAGCCTCATGTATAGCTCCATTATATATTTCTGAATGAACATCAACAGGAAGAGAAAAAAAGACTGCTATATAAAAGAAAAAGTACTATTTAATATACCCTATTTTTCAAACACTATCAGGAAACTCAGAAAATATGAGAGACCCATGGTTTGTTACAAAGATTATTATGGGATCTACTTAGACCTAGTTGACCTAAATAGGGCAAACATGGTATTATATTCACTTAGAAGAATATTAGGTAAGAAATATCAGGGCTTTTTTTCTCCATAGAAGATCTCAAGGCGTACTAGGTACTATTCTTTGTCTTCTACCATCAGATGACAACTTGGATATGTAGGAGACAAGGTCCATGTTAGAAGAAGTGATTGCCTTGGCTAAAAATTCCCATGTAACACAAGAACTAATATTTTAGCTTTGTAGGTACAGCTTCCAAGTCCACGGAAAAGGTATGTCCAGTTGAGTTTCCATAGAAGCTTCAAGCATGTTTACATGCCATTTGGTCTCCCCATGCTGAGACAATGTATCAGCCAGGATTCATTTTTATCATAAGCAAAATTGCCTGGAGTTTGTTAATCCTTTTCCTATGGTTAATTTGGGAGAAAGAAGAGAGACTGACATATTGGCTACCTTCAGGGAACAAACTCTAACAGCACAGATGGTAGTAGAGGAGATACCAGTTACAGATTTGAAGAGCTAGAATTGATGATGGTATGACTCAGCCTTCTGAGATTAGATGTCCTACTTTCTAGGGTTATGAGTAAGAAAAGTAGGTCTTATCCCTTTGTTTAGAAGGTACCTTAGAAGTGACATGAAACTTTGGGTAGAGAACCTATTAATTTGCCTCTGGCTTTCACTTGGGCATTTACTCTTCAGAACCTAGAACATCCATAACAAAATGGT